CTGTCAGTGCAGAGCCTGACGCTGGGCTCGAACTCACAAACCATGAGATCAATTTTTTATTCCTGTGATAAACTCCATTTCGTCATAGGTATCATTATTTGTATATATTGTTGGATTCAATTGCTAAAATTTTGTTCAACATTTTTGCACCTATGTTCATGAGGGAAATTGGGCTGTAGTTTTTGTTTGTTTGTTTGCTTGTTTGATCTTTGGTTTTAGTATCACGTTCATTCTGGCATCATAAATTGAGTTGGAAAGTATTCCCTTCTTTTCAGTTTTCTGGAATAATTTGTGTTAAATTGGTGTCTCATCCCATGTGCTTGGTAGATTGCATCTCATGAAACAAATTGGGCCTAAAATTATATTTGTGCATAGGTTTTCAACTACAAATTCAACTTCCTTGTTATAGGGCAATTCAGGTTATCTGTTTCTTCTCCAGTGAGCCTTAGTAGTTTGTGTCTTTCAAGTGATATGTCCATTTCATCTAAGTTGTCACCTTTATTGGCACAGAGTTACTTACGATATTCCCTGGGTGACTCGGTTGAGCATCCAACTTCGGCTCACAGTTTGTGAGTTCAAGCCCCACATCGGGCTCTCTGCTATCAGCACAGAGCCCACTTCATATCCTCTGCTCATGCTCTCTCTGAAAAAAAACTAACATTTAACAAAAATCTTCCCCAATATTCCTTTTAATATCTGTAGTGATGTCACCTTTCTTAATTTCTGATATTGAACATTTGTGTCTTTTTTTTCTTGGATCAGTCTAGCTGAAGGTTTATTGATTTTATTTCCTCAAAGAACCAGCTTTTGGCTTTCTTGATTTTCTTCATTGTTTTTCTCTTTTCTGTTCCACTGATTGCTGCTCTGATCCTTACCATTTCCTTTCTTCTTCTCATTTTGGGTTTGATTTGCTCTTCTGTTTCCAGTTTCTTAAGATAGAAGCAACAGTAATTGACTTAAGATATTTCTTTCCTACTGTAAGCATCAATTTTCCTGTATGTTCTGCATCAGCAGCATTCTACAGATTTTAATACATACCATTTTCATTTTCATTTAGTTCAAAATACTTTACAACTTCCCTTTAATTTCTTCTTTGACCCACGAGTTACTCACGAGTGCAAGTATTGGGTATCGTTCCCTCTCGCTTTTTTGGAGGATTCTTTCCCCAGTCTCAGAGAGCATCCTCACGGGGGTGCACTGACCCAGATCCTGCGTAGATCATCAGAGGCCTGTTTCCACGTGGCTCTCTCCTGTCCAGTGCTCTGGCCTGCTCATTCCATCTACACTTGTCTCTCTGAACTCTTAGCTTCATCTCCTCAACTTGGATGGTCTTCTAGACTCTGTCTGGGTCCCACCCTCATGCCACAGCCTAGAAACCCCCTCGAGTTGCAGGCACAGTTGCAGGGTTCCCCTCATTCGTTTCCTGTCTTTCAGGGATTGTTGACCTTCATTTCCCGAGGTCTAGTGTTCTGAAAACCACTATTTTATGTATTTTGTCTGGTTTTTTCAGTTGTTTCAGGTGGAAGAGGAAATCCAGTCCTTCTTACCAACTGCGGTTGAATTCAGAAGTCAAGCTAGGTGGCTTTTATTTACTTATTTTTTTTTTAATTTATTTCTGCCATTCTCTAAATAAACTGTTTTGACTTGTTGTTTTTATGTGCAGCTTTTCTGATACTTAGGATGGTTTCTATTTCTGTTGCAGTGGTTACTATTTTAATGATGTCTTTCTACACCTTTTGTTCTCTCTACTCTTTGGATAGTATCTATTAATGAGTTCATTACTCTAGGCCATGGCACAATCAGTGTGCTTGTCTGCCTCTTCCTCTTCTACTTGACAAACAAGTGAAGGGGCGCCTGGGTGGCTCAGTCGGTTAAGTGGCCAACTTCAGCACAGGTCATGATCTCGCGGTTTGTGAGTTCAAGCCCCACGTCGGCTCTGTGCTGACAGCTCCGAGCCTGGAGCCTGTTTCAGATTCTGTGTTTCCTCCTCTCTCTGCCTCTCCCGTGCTTGTGCTCTGTCTCTCAATAATAATAAATAAATGTTAAAAAAAAATTAAAAAAAAAAAAAACAAGTGTCAGTCCACAACATTATCTTGCTTAGTGTGTTTGTTTGCATGGGTACATAAGCAATTAACCATGTATTTCTATTACTTGAGTCTTCAGCTTTTCCTCCCACTTCTTATGTCTTTAGTATAATTTCCTGGTAGAATAAGGGAGGAAACGTTCACTTAAATAGACGTATTTGCCGCACAAGTCCCCAGCCTCTGTAATCACTCTACTGTGACCTTAAGACAGCGGCTTAAGCTGTCAGAGCCTCCATTCTCTAGTTTTTAAGATGGGATAATATCTATCAAGGTTGTGATGAGTCTTGAGCCATAGAATACACGTGAGATGCTTAGCATAAAGCCCGATACATATACAATGCATATAAAAACTTAGAAAATGCAGGCTATTAGTAGCAGCAACAGCAAGAAAACATCCATGTAGTGCACAGCACACAGTGGGTTCTGTGCCAGCTGCCTTACGTTCCTTATTTCATTTCATCTTGACCACGAACCTGTGGCAAATGCATCACCCTCATTAGAGATGAGGGGAGACTGTAAGAGGTTAAGAATACACTAAAGTCACCCGGTGTGTAAGTGACTGTGGTAGAATTAAGACTCAAATATTCTGCGGCCAAGTCCAGAGCATGCTCTCTCACCCCTACTCTACGGCTGCCTTTATTATCCTGAGCTCTGCCCTGCTAATGAAAGTGTGTGCGCTCACTTTATTCTGAGAACAAACTTGGCCTCACAGCTCAGTATATAGACAGGATACACCTGGACGAATATAATTTGCCTGTTTTTCCAAACTCTAGGTTCAGAGTCTGGCTTGCAGACAAGGTACAGATGGAAATCTTCCTGGACTCAGACCAAGAAGAGGAGAAAGAGTGGGAAAGGCTTGCCCCATGGCCTCTAGTAGCACTGAGTAAACCCAACTTGAACTGATGTTTGGAGATTAGCTCGTGGAATCAAGCCATTGACACTCACTGGCTTGTCTAGCACTTTACCTAAAGTTCTTCAGTATCCATGCCCGCTTGGGCTTTTCATAGCACTATTATAGCTGAGAAAATGGAGGCTCAGAGAGGTTAATGTTTTGCCCAAAGCCACACAGTTAATCAGTGATAGGGCCTAGATGACAATCCAGATCACAACACTTGTCCAGCGCTTTTCTCACGATATGTATTTGACATCATGGATGGCATTTACCTTTTCATAGTTCTATTGTGGGCATGATCAATAGTCAAATCAATAGTTCTATTGTGCCCCATAGATGTGGAAGAGGAGAATCAATATTTACATGTGTCCAGTCTTCAGCACTGTATGATAAGTTGCAACAGATAAAAAGACGTGAAAGTGGTCTTTGTTCTCAATACTCATTCATTCATTTCTCTATTCACTCATTCATTCTAAAAGTACATTGGGTCCCAGATTGGGTTAGGAGTTGGGGAATACTCTTCAAGGGGCTCACTGTGTAATGAAAGAAACAGATTCCAAAGTCAACTGCTCCAATTCAGTGGGAGAAGCTAAAATTAAGAGTATTGGGGGGTAATGAGCGTATCATTGACAGTGCTTCACTTTGCCTGTGGGATCTAGGAAGGCATCCCACAAGGGGCTGAGTGTGGAAGGAGCCATAGGTCAGGGAGTGGGATTTGCCACCGACAGAGGCAGAAGTGAGCATGTCTCTTTCAGAGGACCACCAATGATTCCATGTGGCCAAGGCCAGGGAGGGCTGGGAACAAAGCTGAAAGCTAGGCAGTGTTCCTGCAGAGGAGTTTAGACTTCCTCCTGCAGATGGTGGAAACACATTTTAATTTTTTTTCATTTTTATTTATTTTTGAGAGAGAGAGAGACAGAGACAGAGACAGAGTACGAGTAGGGGAGGGACAGAGAGAGAGAGGGAGACACAGAATCTGAAACAGTCTCCAGGCTCTGAGCTGTCAGCACAGAGCCCGAGGTGGGGCTCGAACTCGGGAATGGTGAGATTATGACCTGAGTTGAAGTCAAATGCCTAACCGACTGAGCCACCCAGGTGCCCCTGGAAACGTAGGCAGAAGAGTAGTAAGATGGTCAAATGTGGTTAGAAAGCTCACTGTGGTACAGGTGGGGAGAATGGACTAACAGGGAGGAGACCAGTGAAGAGGCTGGTCAAGGTGAGGGCCTGGGGTAGCTGTGGAACGTGGAGAATTGCTCTGGCGAGCCCCCACTCACATTGAAGCTTCAGCATAGACAACAGCTCAGAGAAGGAGCTTCAGTCCAGCTAGAAGCTTTCCTTAAGGCACCCTGAAAACTCTCTCCATTCCCTCAAACAGAAGAAGAGTTCAGTGGCAGTTAACAGCAATGGCTTTGAAGTCAGCTTGTGAGACACTGCATGGTGCCTCCACTGCTAACTAACTAACTTGACCTTGGGCAAGTTGCTTATTCTCTCTGTTGCCTCAGTTTCCTTATCTATGAAGTCAAGATAATAAGGGCCATCTGGGTGGCTCAGTTGGTTGAGCATCTGACTCTTAATATGGGCTTAGGTCATGATCCCAGGATCGTGGGATTGACCCCTGCATCAGGCTGGGGTCTGCTTGAAAGTCTCTCCCCACCACCTCCCCAGCTGGCGCATTCTCTCTCTTTCTCTGATATAAAACATAAATAAATAAATAAATAAATAAATAAATATAATAATGTTACCTACCTCTGAGGGTTATTGTGATTAAATTATTCAATGCATTTATTTATTTTTTTTTCAACGTTTATTTATTTTTGGGACAGAGAGAGACACAGCATGAACGGGGGAGGGGCAGAGAGAGAGGGAGACACAGAATCGGAAGCAGGCTCCAGGCTCTGAGCCATCAGCCCAGAGCCCGACGCAGGGCTCGAACCCACAGACTGCGAGATCGTGACCTGGCTGAAGTCGGACGCTTAACCGACTGCGCCACCCAGGCGCCCCTATTCAATGCATTTAAAGTGCATAGAACAGTGTTTGGCAATGATTAAGTGTGCAGTTAAAAGTGGGGTTATAGTGTCATCACACCCATTCACTGTAGGGGAATTATGTGTTTGTGGGTGTACCGGACCAGTCTGAGAACTCATTGGGGACAGGTAACCTCATGTCCAGCAGAGAGCCTGGGACATAGACTCCTCAAAGAATACCTGTGGAACGGATTAGAGATGAGGCCAATGACAAAGAGATATGTAGGAGTTAAATCACGCATCACTGGGGGTTGATTGGACATTACAGAGAGGGTTAGTGAGGAGAATAAAATCATTTCTAGGGTTCTGAACGGGGACAGGAAGATGATGGTGATGTCATGGCTGAGATAGGGAATTAGAAAGAAGGAACTGGATCTGAGGAACAGAGGCTAACACACACAAGATCAAATCAATAGGACTGAAAGAAGCTGAGGTTTGAACTCAGATTCCACAGACAGTTTATAAGAATGTGCATGTCTGTGCCGAGCACAGGATCTAATGCATAGCACTTCATAATATGTATCAGATGAGGTGGGGAATGTTTGCATGAATGGACGTCTTTTGTAGATGCCAGGATATCATGGTTGCTTTTCTCTTCAGTGATAGAGGTCTGTGTGGAGGTTAAAAGAAAAAAAAAAAAAGGAAAGAAAAAGTCACCATAAGATTTATTTTTCTAATCTTTCTCTTAAGTTTTATTTATTTTGAGAGAGAGAGAGTGAGTAGGGGAGGGGCAGAGAAAGAGGGACAGAGAGAGAGAATCCCAAGCACTGTCAGCTCAGAGCCCCATGCAGGACTTGAACTCATGAACTGTGAGATCAAGACCTGAGCTGAAGTCGGACACTTAATTGCCTGAGCCACCACCCAGGCATCCCCACCGTCAGATTTAAAAATGCAGAACTAGTAGCCAGTATTTTAAGTGAGTGAATATGGGAGCCATCTTTTTCCCTTTTTTTGACACATCAGGACATGTTTTATTATCTCCAGCTTCAGGACATAGTCTCGCAAACTGCTAGGAAGGATGACTCAAACCAGGAAGTTTGGCAAAGCCCAGGCCAAAAAAAAAAAAAAGAAAAAGAAAAAGAAAAAAAAAAAAGCAATGTCAAGGAATCTAGGAACATAGGAAAATGCCTGGCGACAAGCGAACAAGTCACACGGGCTCCTCTACGTATGACTCCAAGTTCAGTCACCACACCTCCTCAGACACAAGCTGAAGTCGAGCTGCTTGTGGGGTTGGCGTCTGAGTAGGAGAAGCAGAAAGAACCGTCTGCAATAGTTCCTGTTTGGAATTGATAAGCTTTCCTTCAGTACAAGGTAGCTAGTAGAGCAGTAATGGTAATTATAAGAATGCCTATAATTAGTCAACTTTTACTACTTCCAGAACATGGTAAGTGCCTTACAAACATCATTTCATTTAAACCTCCTCAATTCCTACAAAAACATGCTGCCTGTCCCCTGTGGAAAGATGGGGAAACTCAGCCGCGGAGAAGTGAAGTAACCTGACCGAGGTCACACAGCGAGTGAGGCCTTGAGATCTCAAGTCCAGCTTGCCTGACTCCAAAGCCTGTGATACTAACCCTATTCACACACAGTTTTTCTCTGTGACTCCTTTACACTGGGGCCGTGCAGAGTTTAACTTCATCTAAGCGAGTCTAATTGGGGCATGAGGCTCACATTCTAACTCCAGGTAGGACAAGACAAGAGTGTCCCTGCTCAAAGGCCCTTCATCAGTCCAAAAGAATCAGAGAGGCATTGTGCAAGGATCAAGAGACACGGGTTCAGAGAACTGGGTCCAGATACTGACATTGCCACTTACTAGTGGCAAGGCTTTCCCCTGATCGCTTAAATTCTTCAGGCCTCTGTTTGTCAGTTTCTTCGTTTTCACTCACCCCTGACTCTGGAATATAAAAGGGTTTGCCTAGGGATGCCTGCGTGGCTCAGTTGGTTAAGTATCCAAATCTTGATTTAGGTTCAGTTCATGATCTCATGGTTCATGGGTTCGATCCCTGTGTCAGGCTCTGCGCTGACAGCATGGAGCTTGCTTGGGATTCTCTCTCTCTTTCTCTCTCTGCCCCTCCCTCACTTGTGCACTCACTCTCTCTCTCAAAAATAAATAAACTTAAAAAAAAGTGTTTGCAGAAATGATTTGTCAAAGCTTTTGAAAAACTGTTATTTTTATTTCAACATTTGTATCTTTTCCACTAGAAACTTTTCCTGTCAAAAAGTAATATGTACTTACTAAAGAAAAAACATATTTAAAAAAAAAGGTAATATGCAATTGTTTAAGAAAGGATACAGACGAGTAAAAATAAATCTGATTCTTTTTAGTGCAAATGGAATCACTCTTCAAATTCTGAACTTAAAGGACTATCAGAGAGGCTGGCTCCAGCTTTAACAATAGCAATAAAAAGTCATGTTTGGGTCTTTCCTGTCACTTCCTAAACATTTCTTGACTTTCCTTTTGAAGAAGTTTGTATTTCATATTGTACTTTTCAGTGCTTAGATCTAAAGATGTACAAAGTTCTTATGAAGACTCTTTTATTCTTTTGAGGACTGCAAATAAAATAGAGCAAAACAAAAACATACTAGGGAATATTTTTTTTTTCCCCAAAATAATTCACTCCACAATCTTTTATTAAGACCTCACCGTGTCCAGGTCTGGTGTGAGGCGATACCCAGAATGCAGTGCGATCCCTGGTGAGGAGGCCCAATGCCTAGTAGAAGAAGTGAATGGAGTTAAGTACGCAGTGCCCTGAGCTCACACAAAGGGAGCTATGAATTCTGTCACAGAGCAGGGGACAAAGGCTGAGTCCAACAGATGGCAAAGACTTAGAAAAGCAACCACTAGCCCTAGGGTGATTATCTGGTTCTAGAATGGCATAGGATTTATCTTCCATGCTGGGGTACTTGATAACGAAAGGGGAAGTACTGATAATTATGTCAGAATACTGGGTGAACACCAGAATTTCCTGGGCAAACGAGATCAGATGGTCACCTCACTTCATGCTAACATTTCAGTGTGAGAAATGGGGCTCTGAATCTCATTTTCTTTTAAGTTTATTTATTTATGTTGAGAGAGAGAGAGAGAGAGAGAGAGCAAGCAGGAGACGAGCAGACAAAGAGGAGACAGAGAATCCCAAGCAGTCTCCAAGCTGTCAGCACAGAGCTGGACATGGGGTTCAGGGCTCAGTCTCACAAACCATGAGATCATGACCTGAGCCAAAATCAAGAGTCGGATGCTTACCAACTGACTGAGCCACCCAGGCGCTCCTGAATCTCATTCTTTACACATTGAAACCTGTGATGGAAATGGCATGTTCAAAATGCTCCAGGGAAGGCTTCCCCACCCTGGCTAACTTCCTGAACAACTTGTAGAGTTCCCTTAACAATGCCTTTCAGTCCTGTTGTTGGAATCTAGCATAACATCAACACAGCAAACAAATTGTTCAAACTAAAAAAGCACATTCTTGTATCATCCTTAACTTAGTTTCATAGTGACATGAGACTTTCCAAACCACATTGATGTTCAGCCTTAGGAGTTTGGGGTTTTCCACACTGCTTTGGGGACCAACTCAGAGCCCTAACTCTCAATGTTTCCAGTTGATATTCCTTGATTTATTTGTGTGTTTAGTTACAATTCCAAACAGGTTATGATGATTTTCTCCTTGCAGAGACTATCTGGAAAAGTCTTGGGAGTAGAAGAGGAAATACAAAACATTTTAAAATAAGACTGGTGCCATCAAGATGTGACATCTGCTTGTGCATGAGGCAGAAAGCACAGCATGTGCAAAGGCACAGGGGCAGGAAAAACCATGGAGGGAATCGTGTGGAATTCTCTGGCTAGAAATGAGCTTGGGAATATGGTGGGAGGAGAGTTGAGGGGTGCCTGGGTGGCTCAGTCGGTTAAGCATCTGACTTCAGCTCAGGTTATGATCTCATGGTTCATGAGTTTGAGCCCCGCATCGGGCTCTTTGCTGACAGCTCAGAGCCTGGAGCTTGCTTCAGATTCTGTGTCTCCCTCTCTCTGCCCCTTCCCAGCTTGCACTCTGTCTCTTTGTCTTTCTCAAAAATAAATAAACAAAAAAATTTTTAAATGGGGAGTTGAGACTAGATAGTGAAGGCCCTTGAATGCCACCCCAAGGAGTTTAGACTTCATCCTGTTGGAATTGATGGGTCTCTGGAGGTGTTCAAGCAGGATATTTGCTTTTGGAAAGAGAGAAAACCAAACAAAGCCAGGGAGAGTCAGTGGTCCTGGAGCCAATTTCTCCCTTCACGTTTGCAGTGTTGATTTGCTCCAAACTTTTCCTTAATGTGTTCCCTGACTCACTATACTCCAAACACCACCCCAACGGAATGTATCTCAATCGACTAGTGATTATAGACACAAATTTCAGATGCTTTGGGTTTAGCCCAATCCCAAACCGAGGATGGATTGGAATCTTTTAGCATTCCCTAGCTCTATGCCCACATGGGAGTCTGGATGGATGAGGGGCCTGGCCAGGCACAGAGAGGTGAGAGTGGGGGCCTTCTGTCTTCTGACCACCCTCTTGGAAACTGCTCCCAAAGACTTTCCTTGGGGGAATTTATAATCTTCATTCCCTCCACCCTCCACCCAAATCATGTCTGCCTGGGTGCCAAGTCCAAAATCATGAAGCTAATGTAAAAATGGCAGCTGTATACTTTTCAGCTACTTGGGATGCTTAATGAATGGACTGGCTTAAAAGATGAAAGGCTCCTTGACCCCAGAGGTATTTGAACAGGCTTGCTTTGGAGAGGTTTCTTTCAGGCAGTAGGAAATTGGAGTCTGACAAATGAGGATTCTACTCTGCATCCGACTACTTACAACCTCTGAGCCTCTGTTATCTCAGCTGTAAAATAGGGATCATAATAGCACCTTCTTTATAGGGTTCTCAAGGGGGAAAACAAACAAACAAACAAACAAACAAACAAGATAATGATGTCGCTTGACCCAATGTTAGGCACTGGTATGTATTCCGTAAAAGCTGGCAATCATCATGGTTAGCAGGGTCATCTACAACTGGTTGGGCTTTGTGCTTCCAATGGTGAAACAGTCATTTATTTCTGAGTATGACCTCTACTCTGGAACATGACACAAGCAGAAGTCCTATAGGCAAAGAACTGGTCAACACCATTGAATATTACCCATCAGAGACCATCTAGCTGTGGGGAAGCAAACTTCCCATTTTGCAGAGGGAGAAATAAGTTCAGAGAGAGGAATTAAGTTACACACCTTAAGTTACAGATGGATTCTTGAGACCTCATGCTTCCCGCACGTTCAGTACCATTCTTTTTGTTTCATTTTCTGTTAGCAAGCAAAATTCAGGACCTTCAGTGATCCTGCCTTCCTTACATATACGAACTCATTCAATTCTTACAGTAACCTCATGCAGCTGATCTCATTGTTAATCTCCATTTTATGGATAAAAGAATTGAAAATGAGAGAGGTTAAATCATTTATTCAAGCCTCACAGCCAGCAAGCAGTAAAGCCAAGATGGGAGCCTGGGCAGTCCTGCTTCAATGCCCAGCTCCTTAACTATAACCACATACTGACCCCCTCAAAGTGAAAAAAAATGTGTGCTGTCTTCCTTAGAGGAACACATTCCCTGGAGAAGAGACACAAAGCCACAAGAGTGTCTAGTCACGTGTCTCAGGCACAAGGAGAACAAAAGAGGGAGGGTTTAGTTCTGCAAGGAGAGGAAGGAGAGAATTCGGAAAGCTGCCTGGAGGAGGTTGCCTCTAGCCAGTTTTCAGAGCTGGCTTGTTGTCCTCTAAGCTGATGAGGGCATGGGCAACGCGAAGGCATTCCTGGCACATGGAAGCATCTCAGCTGAGGCAGGCAGATATGAAGCGGAGGGTCTTAGCGGATACCACAAGGGCCAGGACACCAGCCACTAACTCAGTGTGCGACATGGGCAAGTTACTTAACCTCCAGAGACCTCAACTGCTTCTTCTGTAGAATGGGGATAATAACCCTGCCTCGTGAAACTGTTTGAACATTAAATGAAATCATGTGTTATTCTTCTTCCTTTATTTACCCATTATAAAACTATTTCCCTCAGTAAAAATTTTTAATTGAGTCTTTTTTTTTTTTTTACACTTACGCTCACAGCAGCATTAGCAATAATCCTGAGTGGGTTATTAGTCATTCGTAATAACAATATAATTAATGATAATGTTAATTGCCTTTGATGGCGGGCACTAAGTACTTAATATGTATAATCTATATTTATCTAATCTGCTCCTCAAAACATACCTTAAAGATAAGTATCATCATCCCCATTTTTTCAGAGCGATTAAGAAATTTACACAAAGGTCACCAGCTAGGAAGTGGCAGGACTAGTTTTCAGACCTAGGTCTGTCTGTCCAGAAAAATGCCCGACAGACAGAGAATGCCCTGTGTTTTGAGTTCATGTTGGTCTTGGCAAAGTCCCTCAGCCTCTTTCTCAGAAAGAAAACAAACATTGGAAGGGGTTTGCTAACACGTTGGAACAGGAACGCCCTAGTGAGGGAGGGAAGGGGCCCCGCTGAGGCAGGAAGATGAGTCCATATTTGGAGGGTGGGGTTGGGGAGGCCCCTCAGCCTTTTCTCCCCAAGCCCAGAGGTCCCAGGGAGAGCCTGGCTTGAACTGGAACCTTGAGCTGCCCAGAAGTCATGGCGTCTTGGCAGGTGGGTGTGTGCCTTCTCAGGCTTCAGGTGGCCCCCGGCAAGCCAGCAGTGTCCTGCCCGCCTGTGAGGGCTGTGAGGCTGCAGGCTGGTAACCCAGCCCTTCCCCCGTGGGTGTCTCCCAGGCAGCAGGGAGTTAATCTGCTATCTGTTGGGAAGGCTTCCAGAACCCTCCTCCCCCGCCTGTGTTTGCTCAGGGCTGGGCTCTTCAGAAACTGAAACCAGCAAGACACCAGGCCGGCCAGGCCTCCTGGGATCCTGCCTGGGTTTACCTTCTATGGGGAGGATCAGAGAGCTGGGCGGAGCAGAGTCTGGAGCCTGGGCAGGGCCTGCGGATGTGGCAGGCTCCCCTCGGCCTCCTCCCCGGGAGTTAGGCCCACCCCCGCCTCCACCACCACCACCAGGGACCAGCTCAGGGCCCTGGGGAAGCACATGGCCAGACAAGCCTGCCCCTCACCACCTCTGAGACACTGAACAAACCACTGAACTCCAGTTTCAGTTGCTTGCACTGTAAAATGGGGATAAATAATGCCTGGCCTTTGGATTCGGTAACATATGTGTAGTGCTTAACACGTAAGAAGTGCTCAGTATATAGGGTCACTGTATCGATGTCTTCGTTGCTGTTGTTGCTGTTGTCGTGGGGGCAGCCTGCTTTGTGAGGTAGTTAGCTCCCACGGCTCAAAGTGTTCAAGCAAAAGTTGAACGAGACGGGAAAAAAGAAAAAAGAAACAGAACAGGAGGGGATTCACACTGCCATACCCACATACTGGCCTGGTCCCTCCAGAATCACCTGGGAAGCCCAAGCACCACCTCACACCCACTGAATCCAAACTTGTTGGATTTATCTAATCCTGAAGGCAAACTTTTACAAAAGTGCAGCTTCCTTTTATGAGCCAATGACCTAGGCCAATAATTTCTACATTTTCCATCTTCGAAAGGCCCTCATGCTTTTCCCTCCTACACCATCGATTAACTAGCCAAAGATATTTTATTGACCAAACTAGATTTGTTAACTCATAATTAACTCATTTGCACACTACATACAGAGTTCATTCAGCGAATAATCATTCACTCAACGAATATTTATTGAATAACTGGCATGTGCCAGGCTCTATGCTATGTCATAGGGGATGGTGGAAAAGAAGGTGGACAAGAGCTCTGTCCTTCTGGGCTTTCTAGTCGGGCATGGAAGTGCAGAAAAGGAACAAGGATTCAAACACTGACACTGAAGCCAAGAGAATTCCACAGAGTATAAGACACACAATATTTCTACAGTAAGCAGATAGCGTTCCAGTCAATAGCAAGTAAAGTTGATGTATCAGTTCCTCTGTACAGCATCCATATAGAGAGAGGTGGAGGCCCCTCCCCAGCATGCACTTACCCATGGGCGCACACACACACACACACACACACACACACCAATGGCATTATTATTTTTATGAATCCCAAGAGGTCCAGGGTCTTTGGATCAAGAACAGCTAAGGCCTTATGAAGAAAGGAAGACACTTTGGACCTACTTCCTGCTCATGTGGCCCGCCCCATTGCCTCTAACACCCCATGAACAGCTACTGGCCGGTGACCCCAAACACTCCGAGCAGAGTGGCTAAGGGTGTGGGTTCCGAAGCCAGACAGCCTGGGATTGAACCCCAGCTTGATTCCTTATTAGCTGCGTGATCATGGACAGGCTCCTATGAGTTCACAGGCACGTAGGCAAGCCCTCTGTGTGCCCATGAATGATAATACCCACTCAGAGCTGTTGTGGAGATTATAGAGATGGAAGTGAACGCCTCGGAAGGCACCAGCATCTGAGCTGTTCTTATCCTATACTACTTTTTTGCCTTTGATGGTCTCTCTGCTTCAAGTACCACCCTCCCTTTTCTATCCGGGGAGCGAAGAGTTACAGTACAACGTCCCTTCCTCTCTAGGCCTTCCTTGGTTACTTCACCAGGTAGCGTGATGCTTTCTCCTCTGGGTTCCTACAGCTCTTCACGCATACCTCTTAGAGCGCCTCACACACCGCAACCGTGTTTCTTATTGTAGAGGCGTTCTCCTCCCTCTCTGGATTACAGGTTCTTGAAGAGCAGGGGCCATATTTTATACGTCTTTTCATCTTTAGGGACAAGACGATCCCTCAGACAGAATAAACACTTGCCACTGCCTGTTGAACTAATAATGAAGGACAGACAATGGGGGGATGGATGAAGTGACATGCCCAGGATCACAGAATTCTGGTCTGCATTTAGTGTCTGTTAGGAAGAGTGCTTTCCTGAGCTTCCGGTTTCTCGTTTGGAAAACAGAACCGATAATAATGGTACCTAGGTCTCAGGGTTGGGAGGGTTAAATGAGGTACATACAGGGCAGTGTTCAAGTATGAGCTTTAGAATCAGATTGTTTGAGTGCAAGTCCCAGCTTCACTACTCATAAGTTATGTGAGGTCTGATATGTTCTCGACCTCGCTGTGCCCAGAGAAGATTGATCTTCAACCAAAAAGAGCATATCATCATTAACGGGCTATTCAGAGAATGAAAGGAGATACTCTTTATGAAGTCACCAGTGCCTGGCACAGAGTAGGTATTCAGCAAATAAGTATTGGTTCCTTCCACCACTTTCTCCAAACCTGTAGGCCCTGGACTCTGAAAGCCTGAAACAGCTGTTCAAATGCTACATTTTGCTCTGAGTGACTAATGTCCCTTAAGCCAAGGTTGGAAAGCCGACTCCAGAACTAAGCTTACATTCGAGTGCTGAATTAGAGGCAGGGAATGTGGCTGCCTGGTTTATTTAATTAATAAGGAAACTTTGGAAAAGGGGGCAATTTAAAATCAACAAGCATGCCAAGGAAATTAAAAAGAAAGAACTAGCCCACAATTTCATATGTGGGTTTCATATGTCATTGGAATAGTCCCTTCTGTAAAGACATGAATAGTGGGATCATCCAAACCCAAGTTAATGTTTTACAAACTGTAAGACCAATTGCCGGAATTCTGTTTGGGGAGCAAATGAACCAGTTAATCAGTGTACTGCCCTGTAACGATTCTTGAATTTCCTACTGCTTTATCATAACATTTTCATAATAAACTCATTAGCCAAAATTCTCCAGTGGCCACATGTCTATTACTAAAGCATAATACTAAAGGGTATGGAAGAGAAAAAAAGGTATTTTCATTTTGGACCTGGAATCCCATCATACTCCCAGACCGATCGCCCCAAACCTCTTTTTGGTAGGATTTAGAAGAGGTTGAAATGAGGTTGCCCAGGACCCTGGGAGCTACGGTTGTCAGTGGCCCAGTCAGCCAGCATTTGGCAGTTCAGTTCAGATAGGAAACTGGAGAGGGCAGGGGTCTCAATAGACCCAAGGGATGAGCTGCACGGTGGGGAAGGTGGAGGGCAGGAATCTTATTAGCAAAACCAGCTGCCTGCCCAGTTGGGCGTGTGTCCGAATTTCTGAAGAAAAGGAAATCACAGCTGTTAGCTTTAGCCTCAAGCCTCTAAGGACTGGGAAGAAGGTGGGGGTGGGGGTGGCTAGGGAGAGTACTCCACTCCCTCTGCCCCAAGCACACTCTACCTGCATACGGCATCCTGATCTTTCTTAACCTAGCACCTCCTTATCCAGACCTTGAGCCAGGTCAGACACCTGCTCCAAAAACTCTTCCCGGATCTCTCCAATTGGGGGAAGAATCGCTCTCTTCTTCCCCATGTGCCTGGGGAACTTTGTGTCTCCGTTTTAAAATTTCTCAGACTTCTTTACGATATGCCTGTCAACCTCCTCCATTCTTTTTTTCTCTTATCTTCCTCTTTTTAAATAGCTTTATGGGGGTATAATTGACGTACGATAAACCGCATGTACTTGAAGGCACAATTCCTTATGGATGGACCTGCGAACCATAGCACCACCAAGACAGCGAACGTATCCATCGCCCCAAAGGTTTCTTCGTGGCTCCCTTCTCTAAACAGACACCCATCTGCTTTCTGTCCCTGTAGATCAGCATTTCCTACAGTTCTATATAAACGGAGTGATAGAGTATATCCTCTTTTTTGAGTGGCTTCACTCACTGAGCACAGCTATGTTGAGATTCATTTATTCTACCTTCCCTCTTCCCCGAAACATGGGCTTCCCTGGGGAGAAATGGGGTGCAGCCAGAGCACGAAGCTCGACATAGGGCACACAGGAAGAGCCATGGTGGAAGACACTGGGGTGTGATGGGCAGATCTCTCTGGACTTGGCATCAGGACATCATGGATCTCACGTATAGAGTCATGCCCGGACTCGATCACTGCCAGCTGTGCAGAAGTGAGTCACTCCTAATCCGAGCCTCAGTTTCCTCATTTGTAAATTAGGATGATGATACACCTCCCTGCTCTGGGGAGAGCTCTGTGCGACTCCACAGAGCCCAGGGATAAAGTGCTCTGTAAACTGTGAAGGGTCAGTCCTGGGCGAGGATTAGGCCTGAATCAAGCCAGCAGCATAGTGGGAACACCCCAGCTCCAAGGGCTATTTAAAGGCCTGCACGCATTTCTTTCCGGGGACGGTGCATGATTTGTCGATTCCTCACAGAAATGGCCAATAAGGGTTATGCGTGGTGGCCTTTAATCCTGGCCCAGTCACCAAAATTTCAAGGATTCTTTTCCCTCAACCTCCCCGCCTCCCCTTTCCTCTGCATAGGCTGTGTTTATTTACAAGGCCTCTCTTGAGACCTCCAGAGAGCTGCATGTGACCGGAGGATTCCTCCTCTGGCCTGGAGCCTGCTGATAAGGGCGGTCCATCTGCTGGGGGCTCCAAGGCCTGCAGGAACAGGAACTGAGGGGGAGCCTGCCAGGCCTGGCTGTGGCTTCCTTTGGCCAGGACTGACAGAGGGGGGATGAGGTGTGACCGGAGAGAAGGAAATAGATGTCTCCCGTTGGAAACCGACTTGACCTATAAAATCACACCAGATTTGAGGACGCTTCCTATGCACCACCCCCGGGGGGGGGGGGGGGGGGGCGGGCGACGCACGGAGGTTCTCGGTCGCTGCTGTTTAGGGAAGAGAAGTGAGGTCAGCTGCTAGGACACACACAGGGAAATTCAAGAGCTAGCAGCACTTGGGGAAGCCACTCTCCCTCCTGGCCAGGCAGGCTGTCGTCAATTAGAGCTACCTTTTGTTGAATACCTGCTCTGCATCAGGCACTATGTTTTCTCTAAGCTTTACAGTGTAAGCTTCAAAGCCATACGGAGGGGGGAATATGCACCCTCTCATTTCACAGCTGATAAAGGTGAAATAACACGTCCAAGGTCACTTAGGACGTGAGCCAGAATTTGAACTCCGTGATGTCTGACAACGGAATCTGTGTCCTTTTGAGAATTTGAGGACATTGATTCTCAAAGAATGAACTTAATAATAAATTATTTCCTGGTCATGCCCTGTTAAAAGAAGGCTCCGTGACCAATTTAATATAGGGAACGTTATGTATAATGTCCCTATCATGAAGACCCACGGTGTACTTTTGTGTCTAGAACGTTCTGAAATAAAACCTTTAAAAAAAAAAAAAAGGGGGGGGAGTGCCTGCATGGCTCAGTCAGTTGAGTGTCTGACTTCGGCTCAGAGCATGATCTCTCCTTTGTGGGTTCGAGCCCTGCACCAGGCTCTGGGCTGACAGATCAGAACCTGGAGCCTGCCTCGGATTCTATGTCTCCCTCTCTCTCTTGCCCCTCCCTTGCTCGCACTCTGTCTCTCCGTCTCTCAATAAAATAAAACGCTAAGAAAGCTTTTAGAAGGTTCTGAGAAATCTTAGCATAAAGGAACTCACCTTTTTTTCCAACCAAGAATTTCCCACATTAAATTGATCACCCATCTTTTTTCCCATGAAACCTCTATTCATATTCCTCAGAACGAGTGTTCCTCAGAGCATTGTGTGAGAATTACAGCTGAGTCAGAACTGGAGGGATTATAGGGTTTATCCACCTTACTCTAACGAGTGCATTAACAACAACTTTTATTAACATCTCCAGTGATGAGAGACTTATTACCTGCTAAGACAGCTTGCTCCATTCTTGCACAAACTCAGTGGTTACAACAGCACTGCCCAGCAGAAAGGCTGCAAGCTACATGGGTGAGTCTAGTCTTCCCAGAGGCCATGGGGGAAAGTAAAAAAAGAGCAGGAAAAACTCATTTTAATAACCTATATTAATTAACTCAATGGACCTCATGAAACTATCATTTCAACATGGAGTCAGTAAAACAGTGATTAATGGTATATTTTACTTTTTCTTTTTAAATTAAGTCTTTGAAATCCAGATTAGCCACATTTCACGTGCTCAATGACCATGTTTGACTAGGGTCTAACACATCAGGTGGCACAGCATTAGAAGATTCTTCTTTTTTTTTTTTTTTTTAATTTTTTTTTCAACGTTTATTTATTTTTGGGACAGAGAGAGACAGAGCATGAACTGGGGGAGGGGCAGAGAGAGAGGGAGACACAGAATCGGAAACAGGCTCCAGGCTCTGAGCCATCAGCCCAGAGCCTGACGTGGGGCTCGAACTCACGGACTGTGAGATCGTGACCTGGCTGAAGTCGGACGCTTAACCGACTGCGCCACCCAGGCGCCCCTAGAAGATTCTTCTTTAGGCTGAGCCAAACCCTGCCTTCCTGTGCCCCTTCTCCATGGTCCTCAGAATCAAGGGCTTGGTCTATAGATGTGTAACTTTGTCACCACCCCAAGGATGAGTTCTGTTTGGCTACATGCTTGTAGCACCCCCTTCATAGAGCTCAGCCCTCTGGCAGTGGTCTGCTGAGGTCTGTCTCCCCTTTTAAAGGGTTTTCCAAACTTCAAAGTGCTGTATAAATAAAAGGCCTTATTCTCCTGACTCCTAGTGGGGCAGGCTTAGAATCACCCAGGATTTTGGTGTTCTCGTTACGTGGTTATGTTATATTCAACCCACAGGCAGCTGGTAATACTGTGTCTGCCCTACGGCTACTCCCGTTTTCTCCCTGGGCCTCAGTTTTCCTATCTGTCAAATGGCTGATTTGAGATTTCTAGGATTTAGACTCTTTCTGCCTCATCTCACCGCCACCACTCTCTTTGCCTACTACATTTCCTCTTAAACGTGGTCTTAATTTGGAATTCAGGAAATAGTTATATCCTCCCATATACTATAACAATAAGCATTTTTTTTTTTTTTTGAGCGTTTATCATGTACGGGGCACTGTGCTAAGAACCTTATGAAATAGCATTTCATTTAATCCCCTTCACACCTGACCAAAGTCACTACTGTCGTGATTCCCTCTTATAATTGTAGAGACTAAGGCATCAGGTGGTTGAGTCATAGATCCCACGCCTGATAAAGGGAACAGCTGGAGATACCAGCCCCGGGGCCTACTCCCAGTCTCTGATCGTAGGTCCAGACTATGAACCGGAGCCAGGCCCAGGCCTCGGACTACTCAACAGGGCACAAGGGCCCAGGGGAGCAGCTTTTTGCTTTTCATTGTTGTTTCCGCTGCTGCTAAAACCCACAGAGCGTCCTCCTCCTGTTTTGCCGAGGAAGGAAATACTGGTATACTTTCCTTG